CTATAAGTTTTTTGTTGTAAAATCAAGTCAAAAAATTGTTTATCGTATCGTTACTAGTGTACTTTTTATCTATTTCGCCATCAAATCGTGCCAGCCAGGTATTTGCATGAAACTTATTCATAACTTTTGCTTATCTGTTTTGTGGCTCCAACATGGATTTATAAATAAAAATAATTGAGAAAAAGAGAAATGATGGGGAACGAAACGGAGATACTACAGCTAAACGAAATATTTAAATGCAATAATAACATTTATAATTTCTGCTATGACATAGATCCTTACATTCTACATTTTCAGCTAACTTACGGGAACCAACTACATCCAGTTTAAATGTTTCAACTAATATATCTCTTGGTACAACGGTAGCTGATGAAAGTATCCGTTTCTCTTCGCAGCCTGCGTTAGGAGGAAAGACTCCAATAAATTCACGTAGGTTCAGAACTTATAATTGTGCTGAATGTATGGTAGTAATTTCACTCTTTTCTTTGAATATTATCTTCACATAATTAATTTTTTTGTGTCATCGTTGTCTCTCTCTCTCTCTCTCTCTGTCTCTCTATATATATATAAGTTATTTTTTAGAGCAATTTTCGTCATTACCGCAACCAATTCGATTTACATCTGACGCCGCATCGTGCAAGTATGTATTCATATAAGTGTATGAAATTCCTTATTGTTAACTACACTCTTGTCATCAATAGCTTAAAACGGTAGTGCTTTGATAGTTGATATCGTGCAATTTTGTTCAGGTAATTCATACATCTCTTTTTGATTTAGTGTTCCACCTGCAAATTGGCTAGAACCTACTAATCTTGGTGCATTTAGGATTTTTTTTTCTTTTTTACTGTGTGCGAAAATCTGACCGGTATTAAACATATGCTTCATTGAAAAGGATATAGCCGATTTCAGACCTGAGATTTTAGCTCTTTCAGATTAAGTATGAATGCTCTCTTCAGCCGAAGTTGATGTATTCTACTATAAAGTTATGGCAGTATCAATAGAATTATATGATAGTTTTCATCTTGCATTGTTCCTGATTGTTTTACACTTTACGATTAATTTCGCAAAATTGTTTTTTCCAGTCAGATGCATCGGTCATCATTTTCTGGCGCCGATATTACAGTGCAACCGTCACTGCAATCTCTCACAACTGTGGTAAGGGAAATTTTTGGAAATTTTCTGAATTTCATTGATTTTTTATTATTGAATGAACCCTTAGAATTCGAATTCTTCTCTGTGGAGAAAAATGAGGTTATGAGAAGCTTCTTAAAAGTTATAACTCAGTTCTGATTACTCACCCAGTATAATAATCTACACACCTTTTATTTTATTGAGCACTGCGGTAAAATGTTATCCTTTTGGTAGTGTAAAGATGGTATCATCAACGAGGAGTTTATTACCAACTTTGCTTAAATTGCATTCTATTGGCGTGAATATTGTTGAAGCGTTAATGGATGTCAGAAATATCTTTCACAGATCTTTCTTCTTTCGGACAATTCTTCGCTCGTTTGTGCTGAAAAAAATTTTTTTCAGCAGTCATTTCCTGCTTCCCAGTTACCTTCCACATCGTGTTATCATTTCCAGTCATCATATAATGTACAGAATAAGTCAGGTATTTGCATAATATCCTTTGTTAATTTATGTTTTGTGATTGATTTTTAAGCTCTCCTGGATCACTTTTTTTGTCTAATGCTTCATTTTGTTCAGATTTGTCCAGGTGTAATGCAAATGTGCAATGAACATTAAATTATCAAACATCCATTACAGAAAGAGGATGTCACAGTGCGATTGATAAAAACCAGGTGCAAAATGGAAAAATACCACCTCCGAGACCGAAACCTCCAAATTTCAGACAGGTTAAATTTCCCTCCTTCCATAGCTTTCCCGCTATAACACAGTTATCACTATCGTTTAAGCTGTTAGTGCGGTATTAATAATATGAGGAACTGTATTCAGTCATTGCTTAATAAATTTCTGTAGACGAAGCAGAATAATGTTCCGTGGGACTCAACTTCTGTGCTAACAAACAATGTGTCGAGTACTTCCACTTCAAATGATGTTAACTCATATGAGAATCACTCATCTCCCTTGTATTCCGGAATATCTACATCTGGTATTTCCTACAGTCAAGACAATTTAGATCCTTTTGAGGTGGATTTTTGTAATTTTTTTTTTCAAGAGGTTTCACTAAAAGTCTCCTGGTATTTATTATATTTTATAGAAATTGCATAAATTTTATTTTCAGATTTCAAAGACTGTGAAAGATATTGCCAGTAAAGGAGGATACAGTCAACTATTCAAAGATCTTTCCACATCTACCAAAGCTGTATGTGTTTATCCATTACTTTATCATTTTGAACCGTTTTGCTATTGTTAGTTTTGTGCTATTTTGTCGTCTTTTTTGTATGCAACAATGCAGCAATTTTTGCATTTATTAAGATCGTGAAAGGAGGAAGCAGAAAATTCACGAATTCACAAAAATAGTCTATTAACCTTGTTTTTTGTTTAAACTTGTTGATGTTGCCAATCTGTCCAAGCGCTTCACACTGCTTGTGGTTGTACTTTAAAAAAAAAAACAAAAAAAACCAAATTTTGTTCGTCTATAAACCGTGAACGTTCCTTATCGTTTCACAGGGCACTATTCGCTGTAGGTAAATCTTTGTATTTTATTTATTTGTTGTATTGAATTTACAGATCACATCTTTTTAGGCTTCAGCTAGTTCGCTAAATACAGCCTATCAGATGGGAGTAAATCAATCTTATAATACTAATGAGCTGTCGAGACCAGCAACAATGTTTGTTAATAGTGAACGGTTACCGAACGAGAGCTTTTTTTCACCGCCTTTATCAGGACTAACAAAGTCTCCGCTTGATATAGGAGTAAAAATTTTTTTAAAAAATTTCACCTCTCTATTTTTTTAATAATATGCAAAAAATGTTTGTTAGATTTCAAAATATCCTCTTAATGTTATTTCTAAGAGTAGGAACGAGTGGTGAATAAATCTAACTCGTAATATAATGTTGGATGTTGTGATAAAATGAAATCCCGGTTAAAAAATTTACATTTCAATAACAAAAAATCGAATTTCAGACATGCTACTATTGGCAACCCGGTTATGCTAAACGACCCATGCCTCAACAGTCTGCTTTATCATCAACTTATGGAAGTACTCCTGCTTTACTTTACGACTCCCATAGTTAGTTTGTTTTTAATTGCTCTTAACGACATCATAATATTTCGAGACAATATAGATACTGATATTGCAAGCTAAACACCTTAGGGGGAGGGAATATAGGGCTGAAAATCGAATATGATTTTGCAGTGACTATCTGAAGGACAGTCACGTCAGTTGCTAAAATACTCTATTAAATCTATAGGTTCATCTGGTGACTTTTTAGATCAGTCTGTGATGGTATTTTGATGACACCGTCTGCACCGTCCTGCGACATTACCTGTTGCTTTCGTTCCCATACCTTATTCTTTGATTTGGATTTAGTTATAGTTCAGATATCATTTAAAAGTCAGAAAAAATTCAGAAATTACCAGCATAATCTGACTTGTTCTCAGTGATTTAAATTACTTACACTAATGCTTTTCGTTATTCTTCCTCTTCAAGTAAGATTTACTTTAGGTGACCGATTAAATTTAAGTAAACCGATGGCAAATGGAGCATCCTTTCCTTCACGACATGCAAATAACAGTTCTGTTGTGAATTCTTCGAAGCAGAGGAATTCTTACGTAAGCTCTCTTTCTTAGATCATTGTTCCTTTCATATTTCAGTAATGATGCCATCATTAGGTTAAAATTGGTAAAATCTGTATATATATATATATATATATATATATATATATATATATATGTACGTAAG